AAGTCCAAATATTCTGTAATAATCACATTAATAGTTAGCCAAATTAAAGTCTAAATAATCCAGAAATTAATCATTCTAGTATGTTTCAGCATGAGTGTTAACCCCTTCTCTTATTATTTAGCATTAATGTTACAAATTCAACATTGACATTAAGTACGAACAAATCATTCTAACACATTTATAACATGCTGATTGAATATATTTTGCAAGCTAAACATTTTTTTCTAATTAACAGTTTATTACTAATTTATAATTCGGTAATTCTAATACTTTTTTTATATTTAATAACAGGATTAATTTGCAACTGTAAAATTATACGATTCCTTCCATAAGGTGAAAAAATAATTATATTTTATAACATATTGCAAGGTTTATTATTGAATAGTAATTAAAAATAAATTTATTAAATTTGTTCCTTCATAAATTTTATGAATTTTTTTTAATAATAAAATTTAATTGAAAAGTAACTATTTTGTTACACAATCAAAATTATTAAAATGAAAACTGAAAAATGATAGACGGTACTATTTAAATTACAATAATTTATAATTTCTTGCCCTTCGTTTTCATTTTTAGACTAGCTCATTAACATCTGCTTTCACGCTGGATGTATGAAAGGTAATTTGTGAAGGGATCAGAAAGAATTAAAAGATATTTTTTTAAATTTATAGATCAATATTTTCTAATCTGATTACCGGTGTTAATAAATACTCCCACTCAACAAACCGTAATCTCCGGTAATGCTTAAATTTCGGGAACAAAATAATTTTGTTCGAAAATTTAAGCATTACCGGAGATAAAGGTTTGTTGAGTGGGAGTGTTTAATTTATAGATCTAAGATTATTAAGAATTTTCTTGAATTTATAATTTTGCCTAATAAGGCATTTATAAAATCCCCAAATGTTTTAAAATTTAAATATGATAATTGATACTAAAATAGGGGCTTGGTCTGATATACTTTGCTGTTTGTTACACATCACTGTGACTTACAATAATACTATATAATGACATTATTATTGTGCAACATTAATGTTACTTTCTCCATTAATTCATTAAAAATGTTTCTTCATTTGGACCTTCTCACAATAAAACAGCCACATTGAAACATACTACTCAGACTATTAACAATTAATATAAGATTTTTTTTAAAAGTAGATTAGTTAATGTTAGTATACAATAGTGGTCTAAAATTATTAAATTAATTCAGTTTTATTTAATCATCATCAAATGATAAATTGAAATTATTATATAGTACTTGATAAAATCTAAACTAAAAATGACATTATTTATTAAATTATCATATATCTGTGCAGATAAGACGATAGTTGAATCATAAAAAAAGACCCCCAAAATCCGGGATCGTCTTATAGGACAGATACAAGAAAGAAAAAAAAAAAAATTGAAATTTATATAAATTAAAACCATTATAAAAAACCGACAAACCGTAATTATTTACTGGTAGAGAGTAGGGTATGTCCACAAAATATTAGGTTGTTCGGAAAGTAAGTTCGTTTTTTTTACCACTAGACGGATTAGACGGATTAGTCGTATTTTTCCCGCCGTTTTCATTCTAAACCATATTATCATTATATATTTTGACAGCTAGCATTTTAAGGCTTATTTGTAAAAAATTTTGTTTGATTCNGTGAAAATAGCTCTATCCTCAACATATGACAGAAATTTAATACTTAAAGAATTTTGATGTAAGAAAGCAAAAAAAAAAAATTATATTCAAAATTATTATTCAAAAATTATATTCAGATCTGAGGAGAAAAAATTTGGTATCAAGAAAAAGCTAAAGGCATTAAAATAATAATGAGAGATGATTATTATATTAAGGAAGAGAATATATACACATATGATCTCAACTTACAAAAAGTTATACATTTAAAAGGTTTTTTACGACTAAATTGAATGGTTTATCAAATACACAGGGCACAAAATCTTACAGTTGCACGAATAATTTGGAGAGCAGATGATTCCACAAACCAAGAAATACTAGAAAATAATAACCGTCAGGGAAATAGAATAGAGCAGACAAATTTAGTAGTTGAATTACCACTAAATGCGAGTGACTATACAAAAAGGAATAATTCCAAAATTCTTTTTGGATTTTGGAATATTCAAGGCCTCCAAAGAAAACTATACGCAGATATATTTTACAGATATTTGGAATCTAATACAGTTATGGGTCTGTCTGAAACTTGGTTGATCCAGCAAAAAAATAGAAGACAAAGCCTTTCTAGAACGAACATTTTTAGTATTAGAAAGTAAAGGTTAAAGAAATAGTAATTAGGCCGGCCCTCTGGAGGTCTCTTATTATTAATAAATAAAAATCTAGGTAAATTGAGGTCTTGGGTTGCTGATAATAACTACATCCTAGCTGAATTAGAACTTTGTCAATGTTTAAGTGCACTCTGGGGAGAAAAACGTATAGGAATTACTCTTATATCTACCATCAAAATCCGATAAAAAGAGAATCTTAGCAAAAATCCAAAATAAGATAATACAGAGAACTAATATCATAGACTTGTGGATAATTGGTAGCGATGCTAATAGTCGAATAGGTGAAATTATGGATACAAAAGCAAAAAATAACAATGGAATTATTGATGATATTAGAACGTCTAAAGATAAAGTAACTTAGGAGGTAGGACACTACTAGAATTTGTACACGATAGTAGTTTATATATATTGAATGGACGACTTCCAAACGACAGTCCTGCGGAATACACCTACCTGTCTAATTTAGGTAAATATATAATTGACAATGTAATTTGTTCGGAATTCGTTCTAAATAAGATTAATGAATTTAGAGTTTTGAATAATGATATTTCAGACCACTTCCCTGTGTAACTAGAACTAATTGGTGTTCCACACGAAAACAGGGAAAAACAAATTCAAAAAAATAGTCGAACTTACAGAAGAGAGATGAGAAAAAATTCAAAAATGAATTCAACAATCAATTGTTAACGATATAAGATCATGATAGTAATAGAACGGCTGTTCAGAAATACGATAACTTAGTGAATATAATAGATCAACTTCGATGGAACAATAACAGAATACAACTCAAACAAGTCTGGTTTGATAAGAGTTGTTACTTACAGAAGATTAAAAAACAACGTAGCTACAGTATTTTAGAAAAATGAACTCGGAGTCAACGTTGAAAGAATATATAAGAAACAAAAAAAATATATCAAAATCTAATTAAAGCAAAAAAGAAGAAATATTATTCTGAGATGAGTGACCAATTATTAAAGCCCAAAGATATTAAAAAATTTTGGATTATTATTAAACAAGTCAGAAATAAACCACAAACCCCAGAGCCCAAATGTTATGTAATGTATAAAAATTGGCAGCAATACTTTGAAGAATTTTTCATTACCTATAAAAATAAATATAATGAGCATAAAATACAATCTTTAACTGTTACAATTCAATCAATAACAGAAATATTTAATGTAGAAAATTTACATAGGTGTATTAAAAAAATAAAAGAGAAAACGGCTCCAACTCCATTACCAACTTGATAATCAAAAACTTTTCGATAGAAGGTATTCATGTATTGGCTAACCTATACAATAATTTCTATAACACGGGTACACAATACCTGGAGATTGGAACAGAATCATTTTCCAAATGATATTTAAAAAAGGGGAAAGAAGCTGTCCAGCCAACTATCATCCTATTGCTCTTTTGTCTGGGTTTCGCAAACTGTTTACAGCAGTACTAACGGAAAGTTTAATGAATGGACTGAGAATAATAAATTACTTATTTATACACAGTTTGCCTTCACAAAAAACGGAGGTACTCAAATTGCATTATTTTCATCGATGGCACTAGTTCAATTGCAATTATATAAGAGACAAAAAGTCTTTGCCTTGTTTTTGGACATTGAAAAAGCGTATGACTCAGTGGTTATTGTAGTGTTACTTTGGAAATAAATTTACATAAATTTTTTGTTAATATGACCTCAGAAAATATCAGAAAACAAAAATCTGAACAAGAAAATAAAAGCTTTCAGAAAGAATGAGCAGAAAAATTTGCTTTTATTGACAATAATGGAATGTCACCGTGTATCATTTGTAAACTTACAATTGCAAATTACAAAGTAAGCAATTTATGTCAACATTATGAAGTAAGCCATCCCCACTTTTCAACTCAATTCAAAACTGTGAACAGAAAAACTTAAATCATTGCAATCCAGTCTTCATAAGCAACAAGAACTCTTGTCTTTTTTAGTCATGAAGATGAAAGCTAACAAAGCGAGTTTTTTGATAACTTGGAATATTGCTTGTGCCAAACATCCATATGGAGAATTTATTAAAAGAAACTACCTCCTTCTATAAGATATACAGTATATGCAAGCACTTTCAACAGTGCATTACTATTTTGTGTTTAATAAATAGTTTTAATGCTGAAAGATAGTTGTTATTGTGTATAAGGTATGGTTGCTGTATCTTCAAATTCTGTGTCTACCAAATTCTATTCAAATTCAAATTCTTCGTCTACCAAAATTATTGTTTGGATTGCAAAGACGCTACACACAGAAGTTGTTATTGTGTTGTTCAAGTGACATTATTTTATCAAATAAATTGTAACTTAGAGATCTACCACTTGCTTTAAGCACTGACTTTTTATCAATGATTTCATCTATATAATTTAATATTTACTTAATTAATGTTTCCTAGTTACAATAGACTCAAATTTTTTTATTCGTCAGTTTCTTTGACCCTCAAAATATATTCTTTTATCATGATAGAAAATCATTATATATATTTACTAGATTAATTATAATGAAAATATTGAAAGATAACTGCAAATTAATGTTATTGTTGTAAAGCAGACAAAAATTGTATTAATAAGTGAGAAATCAAGGCATTTTTTTTTTATTGTAAAAAATTAATTCTTTTTTGTAATTAACTCTTATTTTAACAGTTGAAAAAATTCTCAAATTTTGTTAATCGGAAAATTTAGTATGTCGTCTAATTACTTACCAGGATACTGAATGTGTGCTGCCTTGAGAAGAGCCAAATAACGATGTCTCCAGTTTTGATGTTCCACTTCTCCTGAGGGCAAAATTACTTTGACCCACTGTGGATTGTGATTTAGTATTTTACCAGATGTGGTAGTCCAGTCTTTTCCCAGACCGCCAACTATTAACTTCTGGTCTTTCACCGTGGCCCACTCGCACTTGAAACCTGCCATAATAATAAAATTCAGTCAGTTAGAACTCATATGTAATTAATTCTAAGAATATATTTATAACTTTCCAATTCTTAATTGAAAAAATTATTTTATACACAATGCTAAATTAATATTCTAGCTATATATAAAAACAACTGATTGTTTTTCAAATAGAAAATTAGCAGTTACTGTTTTAAAGAACTTAACAGCTACAATAGATAATTTCATCTTGTTCATTAATAGAAGATTTTATAATCTTTATAAAATTATTATTTTAGGTTTCACATCAGTAGTAGTAGCAATATAATTGATAACACTAAATGTTCCTATTGTCAATCACCATTTTTTCTTTTTTAGAAAATTTTAAAGAAATTTGACATTTGTGACAGAAGTGGTAAAAGCCAATGCCATTGCTGAGAAAAACTACATGTTGGAACATTAGAGAAAAGGCCAAGAATGGAATTTCCTCAATAACGTTTGTTTTTGTATCATGATTTATTCATGTGATCACACAAGATACTTAAAGGTATACATGTTATGGACTAAGTGATTGATATGAGCATTTTGAATAATGCCAGACCATTATGAATAAGGACAAACAAAATCTAGGACTGTAATAAATTTCATGTCTTTTTTTTATCGTAATTTATCACATTGACCAGTCACTATAAATACTGCTATTATCTAGTTGGGCAAAGTAATAATAAACAACTTGATGAGTGATCATCTGAAAGATGCTAGCCAATTAGCACTTGTGACTAAGTTGTGCGTAGGTATTGCGTATCGAATTTTAAATTCATGCAACCAGTAATGAATCTTATGTGACATTTTAATTTTACTTTTGCTTCTTAAAATAGTGTGTCCTTTATTGAAAAAAAACAATAATCATAGAGCAATCATTAAGTAATATGAATAACTGTTTTGACAACTGATTAAATGAGTTACTAGCAACAAAAGGTCAGAGCAGTCTAATTTTTAAACAATCTGCTTAGGCCTATTTGACAATGATACAAAAAGTGAGACTCAAAAACCAAAGTGACTTGAAGTTACAGTCCTTCCAACAATAATAGAACATACAGTGATTGCCTACAAACTTATTTTCGTGTAACTTTGATGAAATTTTCAAGTATATTTGATAGAAAAATATCGACAATTATTGCACAAGTTTGGAGAAAAATGTGACAAGGCCTACATGTGAATGCTCCTTTCTTGCAAACTTTCAAATGTGCATGAGGATCACCAATCGTTGTCCAAAACATATGACTTCTTGGATCTAAGAGGCATCAAATGGACTACTTTCCATCGAAGGGTATGATGTAGCATGACATTGAGTCAATGACCGGGAAATCAATGGTCAACCAAGCAATAATCAAACGACCCTTTGCTCTGTAACAGTAAGATGTGGGTATTTTTTGTACAAATTTGTGATGTAGTGTCTGTCTGTATGCTATTATGTCTGTTTCCAATTTTGTGATTGTGTAGTACAGTCATACTCAATCTGCAACATAACAAGCTTCTGTGAGTCCCATAACATTCACACTAAGTACTTATTTTTAACTTCTGGCAATTTGGCAAAAGTTTTTAAAACCTCAAGATGTGGGTAATCCTCGATCTGTAGGTATGTGCTTGCACAGTCAATTCAGTTTCAGTTTCAGTTTCAGTTATTTATTAAAATAAAAATATACATAGTACATCCCGGTGCCGTGAAACATAACCGGGTGGGATCAGAAATAAAGTTGAAAATACAATGTAATAAGGAATACAATAAAATAAACAATTGGAATATACAAGAGGCATACCACAGTTCGAGGCATGCAAAGGTGCTACCTGCACCTGAACAAGAAAACGCGTATGTACAAATTTAGGATTGGATTACAAAATAAAGAAGAGACGTCCATCAGTAGAAAGGGACTGTGGTTCTTCTGAAGTACATGTCAGTTAGGTGAATGAAGGCATCGTATGAGTCCTTATGCTCAAAAATGCAGTCCAGATTTTGAGGAGGCCAGTTCACATTGTGTGCCTCCAGGATAATCTTGAGAGAAAATCTTTCCAATTCCATCATTGGACAGTCTATTATGTAGTGCAATATGTGCTTGCACAGTGCTCTTGCAACCTGCTGTTTGTTTAGTTATATAATAATGATGATTCTTATTATTCGTTTCTTATAACTTTACGTGTCTGCTATGCCAAACTAATGCAGGTGACTATTTTAAATCATACCGTTGTGTCAAAAATAATTTTATTATCCACAATGGCAGTAGTGTGTTCAAAACAAATAAAAAATATCCAAAGTAAATACTGTGTTTCAAGACAATTGGGAAGAAGCATATTTTGTTGTGCCAAATAAACATGGTTCAGCAACTTTTTTGATTTATTACAAAAATATAATACTGTATTAAAAAAAAATACATTGTTCATCATTAACATTAATGTCATGAAACACAGATCATTTAACGACACTTTTCCTCAGGGGTCTTTAATAACATGTGAAACAGTAACTTTCTTTACAAATTAATATTATGCTTCTTGTCCCACAATTAATTAATTATGTGAGCACTATAAATGGCTCTTGTTGGGACTTATCATACACTATTGGGAAATTACTTAGAAACTGATGAACATTAATTTATTTGTAAGCACACATTATTTATTTATTTGTAACAAATAATGGAAATTACTGGTCAAATAAGTGGTGATTAATATTATTTACAAAAGTGCATTTAATTGCTTTGAAATCCATCTTAATGTATTATAGTGACTTTGGATTTGTGAATTGGTTTAAAAATAATTTCTGTACAGTTAATGCTTAAAGTATGTCTTTTTAAAAAATTTTATGTTTTGGCTTATGTTTTAATTGTGTATCATTATGTAACTTTAGATGGCAGAAAATTAAAATTCTTTACATTTCATGTAACTAAATGGTTAATGGGAAGTTGTTGATAGAAGATATATGGTTTTACAATTATAGATTACTTATGTATAGATTGCTTCCTTTTTAAAAAAATGTTGTCTACTTGGTTACTGTACGTTTTGTAAAATAAAGTCTTTTACCTTTCAGATGCTTGTAGTTTAGTGATTGTAACGGCTGAAGAGGGACAACTTGTCTACCCAAATTGCATACAAATAAATAATTAATGTTCATTGTACTCTAATCACATTATTTATGATACGTCAATAATGTGTGATAAGTCCTAGCAAGAGCCATTTATAGTGCTAGGATAATTAATATCTTTACAAAATCATTGTAACAACAACAAAGTGTTATCAAAAATTGCAGCATTGACAGGAGCATCTTATGAAATTTGTTACATACTTGGTAAACATCTAAAGCTATTTACCGGAAGAAGTTGTATAGGAATGTTTCATCAATGCTTTGACATATTTGATCATTTTAGTGATAAAAATCAAATAATATAAAATGCAGGTTTCAGATTCTATCTGCACTAGATGTATTCAAAATATTGCAAAACACATTTCTGATCACATCATATATTTGAAAAATTATAAATATTTTAGCTTGGCTTTTGATTCCAGCACCAACATTTCATCATTGTCACAATGTTCCATTTTTGTTAGATACTATACTGAACAGAATTTGATTCATGAAGATTTTTTGAAACTTTTTCCTAAGAAGAATCAATTAGAAGCACAGATTATTTTGATATTATTATACTTTTCCAGAGAATAATAATATTGTTACAAAAAAATTGGTCTGTGTGTGCACTGATGGATGTCCTTCAATGACATTTCTCCAGAAAACTATATTTAAGATCATGTTAAATTATTTTGCTGCCTTATCTGAGAAATTTAAGAGCAATTTCAAGAGTTAAGAAATGTTGAGAATTATCTGTTGCTTGTAGAAAATCCCTGGCACTTAGCTGCATTTGGATATGTGGATGTGATTATGCAAAGCCATTTGACAAATTCATTGTGTTCAAAAAACAATAAAAATCTGGAAGTTATTTTTAAAGCAGACAGAGAGGGGAAGGTAAAAATGCAGAGTTTTGGAAGTTAGTGCCCAACAGATAACAAAAAAATGTATAAAAATGTGCTCACCCAATCCTCACGTTGTTTGCATCAGCATATCTTTGCAATTTGTCTTATTCTAAAATGAAACATACAGAGAACATATACAGAAATCAGCTTACTAATTCTCACCTTACTAACAAATCGAGAGTAGCATGCAGCAATTATACACTCAATTATGATTTGTCTAAAATAGTCCAAAGTCCGATGTTGTTTTAGTGGATTGGTCAGACCACAGAAAATCAGAAAATTATTCACAGTTCTGAGAATCCATTATATTTCCCACGCAACCAGCAAACGAAAGATTTCCCACACAACCAGGAAAATATTCATTATTTCATTATTTTAAAAATTCCAATTTTTTAACCCCCCTACATATAAGAAATATCAAAATTATTTATAATATTTTAAATATCGAAAATATCGATATTCGAAATTATTCAGTCTCTCGAGATTTCTATTCTTTATTCTATACAAGAGAATAAAGAATAGAGAAATATTTACGTTACAAGATCATATATCATGCCGTACACACGTACTACAAAGCTAACGTAACCGTATATACTGTAAGCATAAACAGAGGCAAATTAAATATCATTAGTAATTCGCTCGACTTTGTAATTCGTTAAAAATCTCATCTGTCTCAGTTTGTTTTGACGTCACTCTTCTGCCCATTAAATATGAAAATTGTCCGTCTACACCGAAACTCGTCGGGAAGGTCTTTGCAATTTGGAAAGACTCGACAACCCGGCTAAATTTCCGCATCGGACAGAGTCCCAAGAAAAAGGTTTGACCAGACTGCCACAATGTGTGGTACCATGCAGAATCATGCACACTGGTGGCTAGTCCATTCGAATTTAGTCACAAATCTCTGTCGTCCCCCAGCATTTCAAGGAAACGTGACTCCGCATAGCCCGCCATCGAAACATAAAACAAATCGACACTCCGGATCGAGCGAAAAAATCAAATTTTTTCCGTCGGATTTTCCCAGTAACCCGAGGAAGGGCCGGCCCTCCAAAACAACGACACTCTCTCACCTTTTGCATCGTCTCCGTCGCCGTCGGTCAGTATCACCCAGGGAACGGTCCGGTTGCCGACCAGTCGGTACACCACTCCGGTCCTGTCGTCGATGGAATAGAGTCTTCCGTTGAAGGTCACCAGTTCCGACAGTTCCATGCCCCTTCCTCCCGCCGCCAGGGTCGATTCCAGCGCCACTTCGTCGTCCCAGTCGACGGCCACGTATCCAGTAGAGACGTCAAAAGTCAGGCGACCCCTCTTCATGTAACTGATCCACTTATCGGAACTGTCGGCGGACCGGGAGGCCCGGTCCAGGTCGGAGACGACGGCGATCCGGTATTGAACTCCGTTCTCCGTCGTCTCGGGAGCCGAAAGGGGGTAGGTGGAATCGTAAGAAGACGACCGTCCGCCGTCTTCCGGTTCCGGAGAACGAGAGTCGCCGCCAGCGGGCCGCAAAACCCGGCCGTCGACGGTACCTTTAAAGGGTAGAAAATACAACAGCAGCAGCAAAAGGCATCCCGCGCACAGTACAAAGGCGACAAATTTGGTCTGAACGTGTAAAGTGGAATTACCCATTCGGATCCACGTCCAGTCTTTGGTCACCGGCATCGGTCGACGACGTTAATTTCCAAGTGGAAGACGCACGTCGGAGTCCGAAGCCGAACGACGAAGGCCGGACGCCATCTCGTCACTACCGGAACGCTCGGCACGAGAGAACTTCGGACGCCACGCGTGACGGCGACGTATCCGAAAAACTCGTCACGCTTCCTTTACCGGCGCCACCTGGCAGTTCTGTCGTCGTCTGCGTTTTTCGCCGGAAGTGATTCCTCCGTTGCCACCGCGTTCTGCGTAATTTTAATTTTTCCTTTCAACTTTTTCTTTCGCCATTATTTTCCCAGTGTTTTTATTTATCGTACAAATTAAACTACGCTAGCGTTAAAATCCGGGCGATATCGCTAACTTCCTTCGTTCGAACGTAATACGGAATAACCGAGACGAATACTCCAATAAAAATACACGTTTTATACGGCGGCATCGGGCGATCTAAACTTTTATTTATAAAATTACAATTAAAAATTAATACGTACGTCGGTACCGAAATTTTTGTACGTATTGCTCCTTCATCTACAATATTATGAGTGCGACTATGCAGACGCGAATTTAGTAGCGAGAGAGAGGTTGCGAGCGACATAGTTCTCGCGAAGGAAAAAAAAAAAACACGAACAAGCGAGAAGCGAGAAATCTCGCTGGCGTGAGTGAATTTCTGATTCTCGCACATATCTGACAGGATTTGATATTTATCGCGCCCCCCTCTTCTCGCCACATATTCTCGCTCGCTCGCGTCTGCATAGTCGCACTCTAATATTCGCGATATTAATTTAACTAGGAGTTCGGGTCGTAAATGCAAAATTTACATATTTCAAAATAAACTTTATAAGTTTTCAATAAAGTCTTTTTTTTGCCGAAATGTCTAAATTTTTCAATTACTTCGACTGCCATCACGGTGCACTCTTGTAGGTAATCACCATCCATATCGAAATCTCTCGTTACCTTTCGAACGTTCGATACCGTGAGTATATAACGACGAGATTTGTCTTTGAAGATAATCTCCAGCGTCGTTTTGGCGCGGGCATTGCCCTATTCGGCTGTATGTGGTCAATGCGATTCTACAAGAAGTGAAATTGATGGTAGTCGGTCGACGCCGAGTCCGGGCTGTAAGATGCAGGAGGCAGAACTCCCCGGGGCAGACTGGCGGGCTTCTCTAAGGTCGTCTTTGCTGTGCTCTATGTATTGTCGTGTGTATCGAACGTTGTCAATATTTGGTGTGTGGGGGAACGGTCGAGTTGTCGCGCTTATTCTACCGCGTAACGATTGCCGAATAACGTCGTCGTGGATGAGGGAATCGCTGCCCCGCCTGCCCGGATAGGTTCTTCTCCAAGCCGGAATTCTCCACCAATTGTAGCGGATTTCCCGTCGACTGTCCTCGCCAAATTCCTTGGTTGCATGGTGATAACTTTTGAAATTATAGAGCAATAGCACGCGAACGCGTTCTTTTGAAAGTTTCAAATTATCAGACATTGGCCACGCATCTATTTCCAATGACATACGCGAAGAAATTCCATTTGGTTTCTCTACTTATATACCCACATCGAACGTTCTATAAATAAATCGAAATGTCTAATCCAATTAGGAACAGTTTTATGATCGATATCGAACTTACGAAGTTATTCTCTGGGAAAATTTCATATTTCAATAATCGCATAATTTGTTCTTTGATGTCATTTATCATCGTTCAAATTTCTCGGTATTACGTATGCATTCCAACCGTAAATTTAATATTAATTTTAATACGAAAATGAAAAATCTGCTTGGCACGCGTACCTTTCGCAGTTCGAAATAAAAATAGATTTTTTTTTTCACATTTAATTTGAATACGTTCTTCATACAAAAGGAAAACAAACAAACAAAAATGGTCGAAATTTAATGAATTTCTTGCACTAATTTGCCTTAAATAAATAAATATATTTGGCTGCAACAGTGCTGTGCGATGTCTATAATTTTAACATCGATGCTAAATTTCGATGTCGGATTTCACATCGATGTTTGATCGATGCCCATTGGAACAACGATGTTTAATCAAGATAAACTCACACAATTAAAAAAAAAAAACAAAACTTAATTTTATTTTCAACTTGTATAGTTCAATTACAGTTCCAATGCATACAGTTTTTCAATTGATAATGAATTTAAAACTAGAAGTTTGTGTACATTCTTTGGCTTTAAAGAACTCCGCTTTTTGTTGATAGTATTTCCAGCTTTGGATAATAATCTTTCTGCTGGAACTGAAGTGGCAGGAATGCAAAGCCACTTCATGGCAAGTTCACATAAATTATAGTTAAAAAATTTCATGGATTTCCACACATCCAAAGCATTACTATTGTGAGGCACAATAGGGTCATCTAAAAAAGTTTTAAAATTTGAATTTAAAGTTGCATTTGTGTTAACATTTCTATCTTAATATCAATTTTTCTGGATGACCAATGGTCATCATCTTCAAGTTTATTTTCTGCATTATTGTGAAAACTTATTTGAGCCTTAGCAGAGGGAAATTTACAAAGTTCTGCATTTACACATTTAATTGCATTTGCACAACATGCTGGACTTTTAAAATCTAACTTTTTGAACCTTGGGTCTAGTAATGTGGAAACACTATATACTAACTTCGTCTCAGTGGATTTAAAACGGAAATCAAGATTACTAAAACATTTTTCCAGCAACTTCTTTCCCACATTTGTTTCTGTAGAAACCTTGCAAAGTGCATTAAACATTAACCCTAAAAATGGGATAATTTTACTGATGGTAGTGTGAGTTTCTGCTGAAATTTCATTAGTTACTTTATAAAAAGGTTTTAGTACTTTAAGCGCATCATTCAAAGCACTTAATTCTCTACCAGAGAGCATGTCGGGTGCCCCTGGAAACTTTTGCAATGTTAGTGTAACAAAATTTTTTAATAGTACAAATCTCTCAATCATCAAGAAATACGAATTCCATCGAGTCTCAACATGCTAAATTAATTTTAATGTCACAGAACCTTTTTCATTCTGCGATGAGTCAGAGTAAACAGACTAACATGGCAGAGTTGAGGATGAGTTTCAATGAGTGTGAGTTCGTTCACTGTTAAAATAGTGTAAATTTGTAAACATATTTGCAAGAACTTTGTTTCATCGCAATTTCTACGAAATTCCCGGACTGTCCGAGTGAAAACCGAACAGGTGGTAACACTAGGTACAAAGAATGAACTGCATGCATCGATGAATGAAAATTCACATATTGCTAACATCGATTCAGGATCGATGTTTCAAAAACATCGAAAGTTGGATGCATCAACGAACAAAAACATCGATGCATCGCACAGCACTAGGCTGCAATAAACTCAATAAAGCTTACAGTTCCGAATGTATTTTTGTTCGCATTATTTTTTTCTGTTGTTACGTAGTTCACGCATGGAATCTCGGGAAATTAGACACGCGTAGAAATGTAGTGTAATAGAAGGAACGCGATAGAATTTAAAATTTGGAGCAAAGAAAGTTACTCGAAGCGTATTTCTAAGTTAATGTCAATATTGGATTGATATGATCTGGGTTATGTTACGTCAAATTTGATTCCGTGACTTGGTCTTCGGGCCGTCTATAATCGTATCTTTATACGGTAACGGAATATTAGATTACTTAACACTTCCATTGTCGAAGCCTTAATCCTGTCCCTCTCCCCCGGGGGGAATTTCGAAAAATCCCTTCTTAGTGTGCTTTCCCGTTATGTACCCTGTGTACCAAATTTCATATTTCAACTCCTAACCGTTTGGGCTCTGCGCTGATTATTATTATTATTGTTATCATCAATCCGTCTCAATTATATATATATATATATATAGGTATATAGTTTGAATTTGTGTGGAGAAAAATTGACGAATAAAAAAAATTATAGTAGTAACAACGTCATGGGTGTGTCAAGGTCAACTCATTATTTTATGCAAATTTAACGGTCATCTCGTCTACATTTCGATCTCACTTTACGCACTTCTGGTTTTGATGTTATTTCAAATAAAACATAATACAAAATATTATTGTAGATTTTTATAATAAGATTTTAAAAGGCAAAGATAGTCGATACTCCGTTCACTCAATTTGATACTTATTTTACTAAAGAAAAGTCCTTATACCGAGAATTCCTTTTTCGATTCAATTGATGTGGGTAATCTTTAATCATTTAAGAGAACACGGATGTTATAAGTGTTTTTTCACCCGTAGCCTGGATGATTTCTAGTTCGTTTTCGAGATTGTAGTACAGTACTTCTTTAACTTTCTAGTATTCTTGATTTGTCTACTTCGGCTGCTCTAAAAAGAGGTCAATAATAACCAGGTTTATGAAGAAAAACTTCATACTTCGTACTCGTTTGTTTCCTTGCCCAATTTGCACAACCTGGCGTTACGCAGTTATCGAAGGACATGGTTAAAAATTAAGACAGCGTAAGCACAATTATTCCAGATATTACAGATTCTGACAAGTAAAGAATTTTCGGAGTCCTGTCACAAACAGGCTACATATTGATTATTGACAATCTGTGACATGCCGTAACAACCAAAAATTTAAAAAAAAAACTAATAAGCAGGCTTAACATTAATAAATACAAATGTATTCTGACAGTTTATGGGTTAAAAACTGTAGAAATATATATCTGTAATATTTGAAGCGTGCAATGCCGTAATGTTGTAAACGCCAAAAAACAAACTTCTCGGGAGAGGTAAAAAAAATATTTTTTTTTAAATGAATGAATTCATTTCAATTTTTCAAATGGTAAAAAAAACCTCATTAGGTTACAAATTGAATTTCAAAATGATGTAAATATAAGCCGTAACGTTTTAAGCGCCAAAAGGGACGTGACTTGCACTCTGACACTTTATAAACGTTATATCTTCACATAAATTCGTCTTCAAAATACATTACAGTGTCAATATCTCCACAATAATTTTTTTTGTGCCAGAAAACATTGAATTTAGAATACAATTCTTCAATAAAACGTATTTAGAGAAAAATGACATTGAACGCTTCATTTATGGAGTTGAAATGATAACTTCGTTTTTATGAAATTAATCGTTATTAGTCTATTCAATTACAGTTGTCCCTCTATAGTCCGACGTTTTTTAATCCGACATGCTCAGTAGTCCGATGCACCTACCGTCAAGGTACCCGTCCCCGTTACGTGT